ACAAATCGGCAATTTCATACTTTAACCCCTATTATTAGTTACATTTATGTAAGGTTTATATAGGGTCTTTTTGTTTTTTGACGTGAAACTATTAAACGCGACATTCCTGGCAACTTTCTACAAATTGTCTAGTGAAACCTACAAACAAAATCTATTTAACATAAATATTTGTATCAGTTATTTGTTACGTTAAAATGAGAATTTAACAAAACGATAAATAATAATCTCAGTACAGAGTACTAAAAAAACCGACCTCAAAAGTACGTGGAAGTACATATAATTACCTAATTTTATTGAAATCGGTTACCGGAAAGTACGCAAACCCGGATTTATCCCCTAGTTCGCCACTATACGGGACTTGACACAGGAGATAATAAAAATCGGTTCTTACTACTCAAAGTATATTGAGAGAGATAAACGCCTTGAATTGGAGAATAGCAAAATAAACCATTAAAATAATTGCTCCTTATAATAAAATTTGTCCATTATGCTACCACTGATATTCGAACAATAATGTCAAGTTTGATGTGCTCTTCAATGTACCATATTTAACTGAAATTTTTTTTAAATATAATATAATAAAATAGTTTAACTGAATTACTTAACAAGTCTAGACCAGAGGTTCCCAAATTTTTTTGTCTGATAGATCATGGGTTTCATAGTCTCATGCACGCCCATTAACGTCATATTCACCCCCTAGTTTTTGTCGCTGACATCAGGAACCCTTTGCAGTTTACAGTAAAAATAGATCTAGAGCAGCCAGCTATACACAACCTTTTTCTCGTTCGGGCCACATTTACAAGTTTCCTATGTTACACGGGCCGCAACATTTTGGGTGATGACCTTTTTTACGTTAGTGAGGACCTAATTTTACATTTACATTTACTCCCTTTATAATGGCTATTTTGCACAAATCGTGTACTCCTTTCCTTTTCACTCCTCTCACTTTTCTTTAAAAATAACTTCCATATTCGTATCGTTCTTAAACTCGATAACCCTGCATAATCAAATCCCGATGTAGCAGTGTTATATTTTTTCTATGTGCCAGGGATTTTCTCTGAGTGAATATTCTCGCGCATCTTTCTCAAGATTTTAAAAACTTAGAAACCTAGCCTTATGAAATTATTTTAGTAAGTATTTAATAACACAAATTATATTACACGAAAATAATTAATAAAAAATTAACTTACCAATATTTAAACTTTGACATTTAGAGAGTCTGTTCTCAAGCAGCCAGACCAGTTTATAATCAGTTTTGCATTTTTCACTCGTGTATTGCGCAAGGTCTACATTCTTCCACAGCTCTGACCTCAAGCTTACACTGTGCCACAATTTGCACACTCTGCTTAATCTGAAACGAAAATATATATGTATTTTAATCGATTTCATTTACGTCCAATTGCACCAACGAGATTACCGTCCTTTACTTTATCAAAGTATTATACACATAAAATTTTAAACTCTTCTCTGCAAGCCACTGTACGAATATAAAGTCTGATTGGTTGATTCAATAGAGAGATAGAAGAACCATTGTCTGAGCCGAACATAATCGGGGAAATAAAATCTGCTCAACTTCGCTGGCTAGGACACGTGGAAATCCTGGGAGAGGATCGAGCTGCCAAACGAGCGTGTTTAGGGTAACCTACGGGTCACCGACCAGTGATGCACTTTGGGTCGCTGAGCCAACGAAGTAAGTAAGATTGATTGATTATGAACCTTGAAATAGTGACGTAACCTTTCGTAGCTCTTACCTCGTAGTAGTTATTAGCTCGTATATAAATCAATTACACGAATTAAATGAGTATATAACAAATAAGGTAAGGTTTTAAGGCCTAATTTTGTGTAAATTAACATATCGTTTTCTAATAACGATTGTTGGTTGGAAATATTGGCTCTTAGTGCTTTATTATATTGTATCGAACTGTATCTTAGGTCTAGATTTTATATTATTTAGTTAAGCAAAAAGGAAAAAACAGGAAATGAAATTATTTTTCCGGATAATCGCGTATATTTCACGGCCTCCGTTGTCGAGTGGCTTGCCCACCGGCAGTGTAGAAAACTAATTTTTCTATATTGTCTCGGGTCTGGGTGTTTGTGGTACCGTCGTTGTTTCCGATTTCCATAACATAAGTGCTTTAGCTACTTACTTTGGGCAGAAAACGAAAAAGTAACGAGAATGGACACTCTCCGCCCCACCTTAGCTTTAGATACCGCACCAAGCCCCACACATTAACTGAACGACAACAAGGCTGTCAGCGAACCGTTTTCGCGCTAAGACGGCTTTGATATTTGAACATAGTTTTCATTTATTCATTACGAAAGTTGTTTGTTAATAGGTATAACTTCATTGTACGTTACTACTTATAATGTTCGTGAATTGTGTTGTGTACGGCTGTTTATCACCATCTAAACCAGATAAAGAGACGGTTTCTTTCGTTTTCCGGAACATGAAACGATGTAAGTAAAAAAAAACTTATGTCTGAGACTCATTCAGTTATTATTTTTTTCATTTATTTAGTGCAGAGTAATATATAATACAGATTTATTATATCAATGTAATAAGACGCCATAAGTTCGTGAGCTAGTAGACAAAGGTTCTCGAATTTTCGATTTGTAAATATTATGAAATATTATGTAGTTAATATGCCTAATTATTAACTAGGTAAAGATAACCATGGACACGTAATTTCAAATACCTTGGTTACATTATTTAAAAGTACCTGTCCAAAATATAATATTTTAAGTTCTTTTAATACATTTTTAAATAAATCTTCAATATTATTCTAGTTAGTAAATTAATGAAAAATATAATATTACATCGATATAAATACCTAATAAACATGTGTAATTGTTAGGATTCTATTAATAGAATTATAGATAACAGATTCGCGTTAGAATTTTCGCTATGTTGCCGCTCTGACCATGTACGAGAAAGTGATGGGTAACACTGCCTCTTCACGCACACATTTGCGCGTGTGCAGATAGCGCCATGCTGTATGTAGTAGTAGTAGGTAAATAACATTCTATCGTTGTATGAAGTATCCGGGTGTGCTTAGGGATTTAAAAAAAGAATTGTTTTTTCAAATAAACTAACGTTTCGGGTCCCAAGGTCACGGTTGACTACCGTGCCCATGGCACCTTAACGGGTATACGCGATTTAAATCCGGAAACATAGTTTCATTTCCTATGTGTAACAATCGTTAAAACCTAAGAACTCGATAGGAAAAAAATAAACAAACTTTTCTAAGAACACATTGATGTCAATTTCACATTGACTTATGCAATTTCAGTCAAAAGTCAATGTCTTTTTTATTCTATTTATGCAAAGAGGGTTTTCAGCGCTGTTCATAGATGCAGCGATATGTTGATAACGCAAAAATAACTGAACCGACAGTTCTTTCATATTCTGCAATTTGGAGAGACTTGAAAGCTAGATTGTCAACTTCTAACTCTTATAATTGTATTGTGTGAAAAGGTTAAACTCACCTAATAACAGTTGGAAGAGAGCCTTGCGAAGCCACAGCACACTCGAATATTTTGAGTAAAATCTCCTTGGGTATGGTCGCCGCCCATGGGCTTTGAGGTACAGACTTGTCCATTACACTATCTCTACTTCTTTCAGTCTTTTCACTTTTATCTGAAAACAAAAGTGATCATATTGTTATAATACTTATACCATACAATTATGATATACATTCAATGTAATGTCAATCGATACCAGTATACTACTATTTATTGGTGAAAGGTCATTGTCAAATTTCACCATACAGTAACCAAAACCATACAATAATAACCATATATTTCATAAAAAAGTTAACTATGAAATTGGAGTAGCAATTATAATTATAAAGGAATTTCTAATAAATACACGACCAAGCACAAACTTCTCATGATATTTAATATTTCATCTACTATATTTAATAGGTAGGTCAGTAGTGACCTACCTATTAAAATAACTAAAATTTAAAAAAATATTTAATTTCGACAAACACTATTTCGACTCGACAGTACTTCGACTACACGTTAATTCGACAAAACACATGTTCGACAGGTCACTAGTCCGACAGATCACTGCTACGACAACACAAACATTCGATAGGTCACTACATCGACAGAAAACTATTTCGATATTCGACCGGTAACTATTCCGACAGAACATGAAATCGACAAGTAACTGCTTAACTAGTTATTAATTATTTTTCAGACATATTTGTGTCTATGAGATATTCCGCTCAAGAATGAAGTGGTGCCTAAGCAGTCTCTCAGTACAGCAAATATTTATATTAAATATCTCATGTTCTGTCGGAATAGTGACTTGTCGAATACATGTGTTGTCGAAGTAGTTTTCTGTCGGACTAGTGACCTATTGAACATGTGTTTTGTCGAAGTAATGTTCCGTCGAATTAATGTGTAGTCGAAGTACTGTCGAGTCGAGTAGTGTTTGTCGAAATTAAGTATGACACTCGTTTTTTTGACATATTAAAACTTAACGCTGCGTTTATGTCAGTGATTCTTTTCAAATTTCTACTGAAGCAAAGTATAACAATCAAGAAAACGTCTGCAACTGTCCCTACACAGTAACTCTCTCCATTAGCTCCTATTATTGTATTTGTAAGCCTTCAGATCTGTAACATTAAAATTCAAAATTCATTACACGAGCTTGTTCTCTCTTACAAAGTACCCCCATAAAACTTACTAAATTGCTGATCCCACCGGAACCGATAAAATTTACTTAGTGGAACACTTGATGCTGGCGAAATCCGAAAGGGGCACCGCCAATATTTAAAAAGAAGACAAATCTTAAAAAGTTATCAATGAATTATGTTGAACAAAACTTTCAGACCCTCATTTGCAATCACTTACTTAGTCAGTCGGCTTTAACACTTAAACTGTTGATGAATGTATGTATCCTTACTTTTAGTTGTGTTAGATTTGCGGGTTTTCGTCTTAGAAATACGCGGTTTCGATGCCGCGACGCTCATGTGCGCTGCACTATTGCTCGGGTCGTATTCCTCGCCAGAACTCTCGCTGGCCACTGGAGAAGCTGCGCGTTTCTTCTTCGACTTTCTCTGGCCAAGGTCCGCTATTGAAGTGGGCGTTGGAGTCACCTGAAAAATAATTGTTGGTCTTTAGTTCATATTCTGCTGTAGAACAGAATTCCAAAGGCAAAGGGAAACTGAAAAAGTCTAGAAAAACAATTATTTTGGTAAAATTGGACAATGTTAGACTGTGACTAAAAAGGTTGACTTACAATTTGCTCTCATGATATTACTATTATTATTTACAGATTATACAAAATACAAATCTCGGGTAATATTCTTACAAGCATTACGAGTTTTATTGTACTAATTTACGAATCAATACTGTTTTTTCACATTTATTATACACAATAGAAATGTAACGCTGCGTTATTTACAAACTAAATCCCAATATATTTACTTCCTAATTTATGTTGTATTTAGGTAATTAAAGATAAACATTATGAGAATTTCGGTGCCTTGCTTTCTCAAACTCGTATCTTATAAAGAGTGATTATTCAGGAGATGGCAAAACTTTCTAGTTATTTTAAATTTCTTATCAAGGTTGTTAATTTGGATGCATTGCTTTAGGAATAGGTAAAAGTCAGTGTGTGAATATGAAGGAAATGTGATGTGAAATCAACCTGCAACATTTGTATATACAATGCATTTTTTGTACTTCTGGAACTTTGTGTTTTAAGATACAAATTTGAGAAAGTAAAGCAACGATTTAGGATAAAAAATAGAGTAAATCAATGAACAATGCCACAGGCAATGAAATTTTGATCTAAGCTTTTATCTATAGTCCATTTGTTTAGGTACTTAACTAAATGTTATTCAATCTATAAATATACATTTATAGATTGAAACTGATAATTACATATTTGCAATTTTAAGATCTCAAATCAAATTTATTTGCAAAATAAAAATGTGTATTGCAATGTTAAGATCCGTGTTTATATCGTAGATACCCACATACTCCATTATCATTACATATACAATACTTACATGTATAAAAAAACCTTTGGTCGGGGTCAAGGACAATAGTTCTATAAGCCTTCATTCCATTTGGGTGTACCAAACATAGACGCCACAAAACCAGTGTATAAGTATAAGATTATACATGGTACGACATATATCCTATCTGTATACGATATATAGCCTATATAGCTGTCTCCATACAAAAAGAACCACATGGCGTAGATTTTGTAAGAAATAAAGCATGACTCAAGCAAGAAGAAACTCGATAAAACTTTTTATAATGATACGACACATGGAGGAGACCCACGCCCAGCAGCGGTATGTATTTGTATTCGTTTAGAATTAAATAGGCAATAGGTGTAACAATGTTTTCTATAGTCACACAATTTTAGAAATTAATTTATCTTTCCAAATTCTTCTCTATGCAGAATAGAATTGTCATATCCATGATTTGCAGTGATTATCTAAGAAAAATTCTCATTAAGATTTGATGGTAAGATTTATCATTGTTTGTGTTAAATGCTTTACACAATTATTGAAGATTAGGTTTACATACATATTTAATGTTGCATGTAACATCTTATGTTACTTTGTGTAGACAGACTGGGACATGTAAACAATGATATAATTTGGGTTATGAATAACATTTAAGAGTAGATTTATATGTATTGAAAATCAGTACCTAACAATGTAATTTTTTAAGCTAATATAATGTACAATAACAAAGATCTTGTCTTTCATAATAAAAATAGGGCACTTTTTAAAATTGCGACATCGACAAAGTTTGTAAACTGCATTGAATGCAATTTCAAGACACACCTATGCCAAAATACATTAGTCATACACACACAAAGTAAATCACAATAAAACACAGATAATGTAAAACACTAAGCACTTGATACTGAGTACAATAGAAATATAATAATAATATAATATAATAATAATATAATATAATAATAATAAATAGAATAAGTCCTGCATCTGGGGGTAAGCCTGTCCATAACAGTTGAAGTGCCGCTCAGAGTTTTAAATTTCAAAAATCTGAGGGATACTACCATTCTGCCCATCACTCTGAGGTATAAGTTGAAAAGTCCCTTGTGCCTGTATTTTTTGTAGCACCCTTACCTTTCTATACTGAAATGCAATAATGCACACATTACAGCGTTGCCACGGAAATAGGCAAGTTGGCAGTACTTTCCCGGACAAACATTTCATAAGGAGCTCTACTGCATTTGATAAATCTAAATATTTGCTATTAATCTGCCAGGTTCACCTACAAGTAAACATCCTCATTGGCACATAATTAAAGCCTAAACTCAATATTCATTTCAATTTTACTCAATATTTTACAATAAATACAATTTCTAAACTGTTACTGGCTTAACAGTATCGAAGAGTGCAGGTAGATAATACTGGTAAAAAACCCCAACATTAAGGTGTCACTGGATTTCACAGGGCAGTGGAATAAATATCAGATACTGTATATTTCTATCAAGAACATTGTTTAATGTCTTAACTTTTTCTATACAATTCAAATAAAAAGATGAATGAATAAAAAGAAAGTTAGATATCACTAGTGAAATATTTTCATAAATTATGTATGTAATTTTTAATGTGTGTAGCATGAAAACAAAGACTATATTCCAATAAGCAGATCATAATTAACTTTTAAAATAATAATCTCAGTACAGAGTACTAAATAAACCGACCTCGAAAGTCGTGGAATTAGATGTATTTGCCAAGTTTCATTGAAAACCGTTACTGGAAAGTGCACAAACTCAGATTCATTCCTTAGCTCTCCACTGTATAGTTGAGAACTAGGAAATGAAGAACTTGACACATGAGATCACAAAAATCGGTTCTCACTACTCAAAGTATAAAACATCTTGAATTGGAGAATAGCAAAATCAACCACTAAAATAATTGCTCCTTATAATAAAATTTAGGCGCTATTTATAAAAAAAAATTTTCATGCGTGAACAGCCACCCTTAGAGGTAGATGATTTTCTTCAAAATTAAATGGGATTACTATGGAGATACCCTCCTCCAACAAAAAAAGAATTATCAAAATCGGTTCACAAATACTGGAGTTATTGCAAAAGTCAAATTGAGAACCTTCTCCTTTTTTGAAGTCGGTTAATTAATCATTTATTATTTTTCATTGATCAAAATGACAAGGCATAGATATATGAATATAAGTATTATACATTCCAATTCTGTAATGCAGTGTTCATGACTGCCATATGTGTTTATGTTTTTAGATCTATAGAAAAGTAGATTTATACAACACAACAATACAAAAGAAGTACTTACCATTTCCTTGACATTTGTTTTCTTAATTTTAATCTTTATATTAGAGTTTGTTTCAACTATCTGACTCCGATATGTGGCTGTACACTCAGACTTCTTCGATTTCTTTTTGCTACGAGAACTACAGATACCCAGCATGGAGCGGGGCTTCCCACTGCATGGAGTCACTGCATGTGTCCGCCTCTCTTTACTAGAGTCCTTGGATTTGCTCTTTTTTGTTGATAATTGACTTAGTTCATGGCTGTATGGTTTACCACTCTGCCGCGGTACTATAACAGGTAACTTCACACTGAACTTGAGCACTTCATCTTCTGAACTTTCACTTTCCACTTCTGTTTCTTTTTCGTCCTCATCCTCCTCCTCCTGATACTCACTACTACTCACTAAGTTTAAGTTTTTACCACCTTTCACTTGAAAAACATTGTTAGACAGACGTGTCCTGTGACGAGAATCAGTAGGAGATTTTCGTCTCCTCTTTTCTGAAATACAACCGTTTACACGAGAGTCCCTTCTAGAGTGTTGCTTGTGTTTCCTATGACGAGGCCTAGTGAGCGATGGTAGCGCTCCATTCAGCACTTGCTGCTTCTGATTAGCGATTTCATCGATGCTTTGCTCGAAATCGGTTTCTAGCTTCACGCAAGAGATATCGTCATCGTCGAAGGACGGCTCATTGTCAGTAATGTCATCTAGCTTGGGCAGCCGCACCTCTGGGAACAGGTCCTTGCGGACGGAGAGCCGCATGCTGACGGCGGGCTCGGCGCTCGAGGCCTCGTACCCGCCGTTGACTGGGCTCGTCCGACCCGACATGCCGCCCGCCTCCCGCCGCCCTCGCGTACCACTTCTACGAACCGCTCACCTGTCCGTCGCGAGGTAAACAATCAGTTTGACACATCACATTTTCACTTTTTATCATCGAGCAATGCGCCAAATGCTAGGCAATATCACAAATCTCTTTGTAGTTGATGACCATCGAAGTACAAAACATTATCTTTTCTTCACTTTGCACTTCTTGAGACAGTCCGAAGCATCTTTTTTCTTCACGTATTCGCATTTTAGGTCATCCATGTTCATGTAACGTTGTGATTGCGAAAAACAAAGTACAGATCATTTTCGCGGACACTTGCACTCGTAACGTTGCTGGAGATAGATGAACTGCACAATTTGTGAAAGTACGGACATAATACGAACAATTCTAATTATTTTCGTCGACTGAGAGTTGATGAAAACTGTTGACCTTGTTTAGAAGCATAATATGTTTCAAATTTTAATCAACAGATGCAGACTGTTGTCACAAAAAATAACGTACGAAATGAAAGCAGTGACTTTGGACTGAGGTTCTTAACTCAAAGCAGATTATTATTTTTATTCCAATTAATCTTTTTTATTCTGTGAACATTCACTATGACAACAGACATTGATAAAATGTAAAGTTTTAAATCAAAAGCAAAGAAATAGATATGTAAAGAAAAGCAAAAATAAATATTATAATCTTTTTACTCATCATACCACATTACAAGGTTGTATGTTACGAAAGAACATGAAACGTCAAAGGTTTTTTCGCCAACTAGCTTACTACATAGGTGTTCAGAATTCCGATAGATGGCAGCACTAGGTTGATTTACGGAAATTCAATAGTACTATTTTGTTTTCTATCTCTTTCTCCCTCACGAAACAAATAGAAATAGCTGACTGTCATCTTCGTAATTTAACGAATTCATGAAATCCGTTCCATTAAATAACGAAAATGTTCATGAAACTGTAAATATTCTTATCAAACAAAATTGATGAAAATTTGTTGTGTGTGCCGTCATGTATATCTTGTCTGTGACGTTCGTCACAAAATGATAATGATAACCTACACGGCCTTATAGTGGAGTGTTGTAGGTATCTACCAAACGGTGAGTCATATTTAATTTTATTTCATTTGCTGTATCGATGATCTCATATTATTATGGGTACACAGTCCTCACTGTGCTTTGTGACGATGGCTTATATTTATTCTATTAAATTTGAACAATTACCTACCTACATACCAATGGATCATGAAGATTATCTGTTAAACCTACAAATTGCTTTTACTCCAAGTTTATTAACTTAAGCACCTAGGTGATTTTATATCATTTTACATATTAGAAAACATATGATAACAACAATAATTAATTTCATAAGGCACCTACTCTAAAGCAGGGAAGTTATAACATATAATATGACATGACTCAAGTGAAAATTGGTTTTTAATTTAAAAGCTGTTTTTTAGTCCTCATTATTTTTAGATGCTTAGAGGATATTCATTCAGAAAAACAGTTTTTTTCTATTAACACATTACTCCAAGGTAGAAATGTATTTACATAATGACCTACAATCTACTATATAAAATTAAAACATTCACAGCTATTTCCGTTGCTATTTTAACTTATTATTATTATCGTATTTATTTTAAACTCTATTATTATTATTATTCTTATTGATTATGAGGAAGTAATAAGAATGAAATGAAAGAATGGCATTTTAAGGCGTAAAGGTCTTAATTCTTAATAAGAACTAAAAATAGTTCTGTGAATTAAAAGCTGTACATTTTTAATTTCTAAGAACTAAAATAGTTGTGGATTACAAGCTGTAAATGTTTTAATTTCTTGTAATTCGAGAAGAAAGAAGTCTAATGACTTTAAAATAAATATGGGTTAAAAGCTGTAAATGTTTTCTGCAGAAATTAAGATATTTACTGCTTCTAAATCACTGCTGATTGTATTTCTTATTTATTATTCATATTCATAATTGGAATAATATGTTCAGAAAGCAACTTAATAATATTACTAAATCAACAGTATAAATACTTCTTAGTTGCAATGTGATTAGTACATTAAATGACTCTGTAGCATATGTAAACATAATTAATGCACTGTTATGTACTACAATCTTTGTAAGTAAATTTTTCAAAATATATTTACATTTGTATTTGACTTACAAAAATATGATTTAAAATGAATACCTACACACTATTATTACTCTTCAATCAATTGTAAAACATTGTTGCATAGATAAAGTCTGAACAATAGAAAAAGTCTACTGCATTTCTAATTTCTAAATTCAATCTTCACAATCTTTGTGACTAAGTATATTTTTTCAAAATATATTAAAAATTGTTATGCAAATATATTTTACTTTAAAAAATGTGATAAAAATGCATACAAACTATTGCTCTTCTGCCAATTGTAAAACATTGTTGCATAAATCACGACAATAGAATAAAAGTCTGTTGCATACATACCTAATGCTCATGTTCTAAAATAAATTTTTTGTTGTAGTTTTTTTATGAAAATAAAAAATACTTTTTAAATTTATTTACTATTCAAAGCACTGAATAAAAATATAATAACTGAATAAAAAAAAAAACGTCATAAACAATTATATTGTCATATAATTAGAATTAAGTAAAAGCTTGTTCATAAAGTAACACATAATACTTAATGAAGCTTTTATTAAACTATAACATTAAATAGATAATTCATATACTAGTCCTTTATTATGTGTAAACACGTCATAAACGTTTTACAATGTAGTACTGTATAAATGACTATTTGCTTTTTATGTTATTTACCATTACGACACACTTAGTTTTACTTTGACAATATAACATAGAATGTTGTTAAGCTGCTGTCTTTGTTACATCCTTATCAAACTTTTCGTACAAATTTAACTAAAGTATATAACATTTTTTTACAGTCTAATTTATGTCTTACAATTTTCTTGTCTAGTTTTTTCTCTCAGGCAGAGGCGGCTCGTCCTAAGGAGCGCTGGTGCATTGGAACTCCCTCTCCTATCCAACCCACTAAAATAAATTTATTAATTATGCTTTCATATTATATTAGTAGCTGCAGTGTTTTTTTTTATTAATGAACGACAAATATACAATTAGATTTTTATCTTCCTCTTTAATATAGTATAGCATACTGACCCTTATGTGGAGTGAGTGAGTGAACCGACATTGTTTACAAATTTCAGTACCGAATTCAATGAGTGCGTAAAAAAAATTAGTATGAGGAAATTTAGCAAGATTTAAGCGGCGCTCCGCGCAAATATGCGTGCCGTATTTTTTTCGCGCGCATTTTGTTGTGTTATAAAAATTCTTATTATTCGATCGTTGTTAAGATATATAAGCATAGTGTTGTTTAGTGGCATTGTTTAAAATGGAACACTATAATGTGAGTTTCATTTTTTATGTAAAATATGTATAGGTAAGTGAACTCCCACGAGCCGCCTCTGCTCTCAAGGGAACCCAGTGTTAGACCACCACCACTTTAGGACCAGTTACTCTATAACCTTCAAATATCGTTATTTTTAGTACCGAAAAACAAACACTACATTTAAATGGACTCTGGATTGAATGCTTTACTTTGTGAATTGTTAATTTTGTATCTAATTAAGTATAAAATTAGCTACCTCACTCAAAACAAAGACTTTAATATGAATCAATGAAATATTCTTTATTGCACATTCAGAATGATAATGACAACATAGAATGGCAATGTTAAGTATTACAGAGTAAGTTAATGTATGTACAACATTGTTAAGTGGCATTTTCTTCCAAGCAACTAGGCAATTTGAAATGTATGTACAATATGCTAATCACGAATATTTATCACGATTATTGAGTGTTTCTTTGTTTCAGGTACACGTCTATTGAACAACTAGTGCATCAAATGCAAGAACAATCTAGATAGATACCATTTGAAACGTAAGACGTTGTAATCAATACCGCGACCACACGATCAGGTATCAAGTGTATCGATTGACTGGGCTCTGTATGACTAGTGTGGGGGTTGTATAAGTTGTATGTAGTGTGGTGATGTGAGGTGGTGGTGCGGTGAGGGGATGCCCGTCGCGGTGATGCAGAGGCATGGTGGACGCGGCTGCGGAGCGCCGGGCCGACGTCGCGGGCTGCGATGCTGCCTCGAGTTTTACCAAGTGAGTTTCATCTATCGATATTATCATTACTTCTTGAGCGCCTAGAGTTCCAAGCCACGTTTTCGCCACTTGTCTATGACTCTGGTTTCGGTGTATTTTCTACATGCTTATATTCAAAGGAAACAAACTACCTACTCTGCTCTCCTTATCATAACGAATGTAATCGACATTTTTATCGAAATGGAGTTATTAACATGTCTGGCATCAGCGAATCAAGATCTACAACCCCCTCCAATCGGTTTTTTATATGTTATTTGTTTTCCGTTTTATTGTTAAGTAGAATTATTGTAATTGACAATATCTCAAAAGTAACCGAAACGCAAATGCGTTAGGTGTGACAAGGAGTGCAGTACTATTCTGCCCTCTTCGTCCATAACTAACGTAATCGACATATTTAGCGAAATTGAGTTATTGACATATCCCACCCCTCACGGAATAGAGCATAAGTGGGATTACGTCAAACATGTTTATTGCTCTATTAGATACAGAATAATACACTTCCATGCCATTCTTCCATGACGGGTGCGATATCTGGACTCAACGAAACGAGACCTATAACCCCTTATAAGAGGTTTTTTAACATATGTTATTGAGTTTCAGTTTTATTGCTAAGTAAAATCTGCGTAATTGACAATTGCAAATCTAATCAAACTTAGGTGCTAATATCCCGAAAGTTACTAAAATGCAAATGCGTTACTTATGACAAGGATATTATTATATATTATATATATACATATATATATATATATATACATATATATATATATATATATATATATATATATATACATACATATATATATATATATATATACATATATATATATATATATATACATATATATATAAATATATATTAGGGTATTCTTGTTTAGGCCAATACAGAGAGTTATAAATTAATGACTATAATATCATATGCACTGTCACTTATATGGTCACGTTTTAAATCTAAAGTAGAAAGTTTTCGTTGCTTCCAGCTCTAGGTAGTTTGGCACTAAACTTTATTTTAAAAACGTATTGAAACCCTAAATCTGAGCCCCAAGTCAAATATTTTAAATCACCTCAATTATGTGTCGATAGGAGGATTTTGTACGTTTGGTATTCAGCTAAAGAGTAGTGGCTTTTCAGTGGGTAGCCAATCGAGCTAGT